TTTTTGTGTGTGTCAATGATGACTTATATTGAGGGCAGTTGCTCGTAGCGATTTTTACCAAAAGTCTTATTTGTGTAAAAATGGCGGAAATGTTCATCTCAGTAATGTAATACAAGTATGGATGAAAAGTTAATACTCTCCAAAACAAAAAGTAATATCGAAATCTAATTTCTCATGTCAAACAATACCCAAACATCTTTTTTTTAAACATATATCGACGTTCAGAAATTGTTTAGAAAAAAAACGAAATAAAAATAAAACTTCTACACCCTGTAATTATACATAAAATAATATTTACCAGATTTCATAGATACTTGCACACTACACCATTGTCACCAAAACATGTTAACTTTACAGCACCAGCTGTTAAACTAACTTCTATTGATATATTTTCAGCTGCTTACATTAAAATAACAGTACAAATTCTGACCACCTTCCTGTTACACTAAACGTATACACAATATTACAAATTTGGTAATCGCAAAATTTATTACAGCCATATAGATGGTTCACACGCACAAGGCCGGTGGAAGCCACTCTACGAAAAAAAACATTCCTCCTTCATCTGCTACACTCTCTATGACTAATACTAATTTATGACGTCTATAATAACAAACTTCGCACCGATTGCTCCTTCTAAATATGGCGCTATTACGTTTAAAGCTATTCGAACATAGCTTGACCAAATCGGGTACGGCTTGCATTTCCTCCAAAGATCTGTTTTTGGCCAAGTCGGAACCACAGCTGATGAATTTTAAGTTGACAACAACGTTTGACGTAGCCTTTCATTCATGAAAAAGAGGTAGAATTACTACGGATTAAATTAATGAATCGGATTATGTGCCATTAAAATTATGTTGTTGTGTAGTGGACGAAGCCTTGTAGAGCTTTTGCGATTAAGAGGTGCGTGGGTGAGAAATGGACTTTGACCTATACGTCATCATTATGGATGATATAAGGTTGCTGTGTTCTTTTAGAGTGCCTTTAGAAAGTTAATAAAATGTGAGTTATTTTTAGCGATATTGTTGGAAAGATGTTTTGGCTTAGGACCTTCAGGTGCTTTAGGGAGTATCAAAATAAATGTTATGGTGCGGTTAGACTTGAGCACGCACGAGCTGAGCGTGCGCGCACGGCATTCGTTCGCGCTCTCTGCTCCGTTCAAATTAAAAACTTATTTTTCGACGAATGAAGTGATCCATTTGTGCACAGCAGACTTGTCTTGACAAAAATAATGGACGACCAAGAAATAGTCGAGGCTGCAGTCATTGTTATGCACAGTTTCATTATTAAAAAGAAGAAAAATCGAAAACATCGTCGCCTGGTGGCAAACCCAAATTTTTAGAAATCGATATAATTTACTGCGACAACTTAGTGTCTGAGGAGGGCTATGATCAGTTCAAAAACTTTACAAGAATGACCAGGCCCGACTTTGAATATTTACAAAATTTAATAACACCAAAAATTACGAACAAAAGATACAAATTTTAGAATAGCAATTTCATTAATATCGACATATTCAATATTAATTTTATTTACAAGGTATTGCCCTGCGTTATTTTTTTTATTTTTTAATAATACAAAGAATGTTTAACATCCCATAATATAGACAACTTTTCATATTTTTCAATTAATGATAACGAAGGTTCATTGATCCACTCCATGATTTTAATAAAGAAAACGAAAAAAAAAATCACACACGCACGGACGAACGCAGACAAAACAAATTGCCAGTGCAAATTGAGCGTTCGCGTATAAAATCCCTTTGAGCACGGACCAAAAACCGACACCAGACGACTCACGTTCGCGGCTGCTCGCGCACAGACAGATTCAGAGTGAGCGTGCGCGCACAGCCGTTTACACTTGAGCATTCGCGGAGGATCAGTGCGTGCGTGCTCAAGTCTAAATGCACCATTATATCCTCAAGCATTTAGTAAAAATTAAAGAAAACAAATGAAAAATTGAATTCGTGTCTTGTAATGTACAAATATTTAAAAATGTCTCTTCCCTTATTTTATAAAAAAAATATTTCTTTTGAAATTTTACAAAATAATATATAAAAAATGTCTATACCTATGTGGCGGATTCATCTATCCAAAAATATCCTTATGGGTTTTTCGCCACTGCACTGCAAGAAGAATCTACAAAATAAAATAGTTATTTTTTGTAAACACTTCTGCGTTAAACCTAAACGGACGCTGCTTGTCAGAAGTTGTGTTTACAGTAATAAAAATTTGCTTAACAAAGAAAAAAAAATGCTTAACGTCGGAAGCAAAAAAAAATATAAAGAATCAAGAAAAAAACTATTTAAAATATTTAAATTGAACTATTCGAGAACACTTTACTTTTTAAAACAGATACGTCTTGTAGACGTCTTGTAGTATTAATGCAGAAAACAAAAATGTCGAGAACTTAACAGAGTTTACTTAGCGCTTACCGGGGAAGCATTGTAAGAGCTAAACGTAGCGGAAACGCGGACATTGTTAGCAGAATCAGGAAGGCATAGCAAGCCTTTGGTCAAATAAAATCAATTTGGACCTCCCGTCAACTCTCAACACAAAGTAAAAAACTAACAATCTTGATTCTAACATTAAACTATTACATATGGCTGTGAGATATGGAGAGTAACAAAAATATATATCAACTGCACATAGATGTTTATCAATCATTGCTTGGGAAAATTACTAAGAATCTTCTAGCCGGGTACAATAAGGAATAACGATCTGCTTCATATTACCAATACAGATCAACAAAAAGTAGGCATTGAAATTCGCAAAAGAAAATGGGGATTGATATTACTTTGTCACTTGATTGATTTACTTTGCGGAAGCCTGATAGTGATAAAGCTGCTACATGGTAATATAGGTAATGGAAACCCCAAGGTAAAAGAATACAAGACTGGCCAGTTCAAACATAGATATGTTCCTTATTAGATGAGCTCCAACGAATTCAGGTCAGGAGGGGAACAAATCAAAGATTGTAGATTGTATAGGAGGGGGGAAGTTAATATCTAGTGTATCCCCCTCCTGAGTTATGATCCATTAGGGCTCAGTCTCTGAGATGATTTTAGGAGAAGTGAGTTATCCCCGATACCAGTCGTACCAAAGTTACGGCACGAATGGTTAAAAACTCTGCATCGAGTACTACTTCTTGCTGTTGTCTGCTTTGTTGGAAAATGGGAAAACACCAGAACAGTTCATCACTGAGTACGCCGAGAATCGCCTTCCCATTTTCCAACAAAGCAGACAACAGCAAGAAGTAGTACTCGATGCAGAGTTTTTACTGAAGACCTTTGCTCCGCCTAGGAGATATAGAATTTTATTTTTATATACAAATGTGCAGCCATCTAGATGCAAAACAGTGGTAATTTTAAGGCAATAATTATTAATTTAATCCAATAGTAGCCATTTCTGCTGAAAAAATAAAAAATAACTGATGCTAGTCCGTTTATCAGTAAAATACTTATCTAGTGCTCATATATTTAGTTGGGTATTTTGCTGTTTGAGTTAGACCAAAACCTCAAAACTAAAACCAGTCTAGTTCATTAAAAAGAAACAAACTTTAAATAATGTTTCAAAATTCAGCCAATAACCCCATCAAATCCCTAAATCAATAAATATGTTTCGAACTTTATTTGCAACTGTATAAATGTGACTTATTTTTAATAGCTAGTTCCTTCTCGATTTTCTTTTTAACAGGGATTTTAGGCTAAATAAGATACTCAAAATTTGTGATAAATAAAATGTTAATAATTAGGAACTTATAAGCATATACTTATTATTCGTCTACAAGCAAACCACAATTATTTAAATCCAATTATTTAATTTTTTATATCATTTGACTAGATTTCTTGCAGAATATAGAGTTATATTCGGAAAAAAATGAGTCTTCTAAGAATTATTAGTTTCATTTTTAAACTATTTTCACTAAGGTCCATAATAGCTTTATATTTGTTCAGTAAAAATGCATTAAGAAATCATTCTTTTTTCTACTAAAGCTTCACTCAGAACCTCGAAATAGTAGAATAAATAAATTAGTTGTTTCAATTACCGTTGAAGTTTGTTACTCTAATTTCAATGTAATCATTCAGAACGTAAAAATTAGTGGTAGTAATTTTCAATTAGTTAACAAACTTTTAGCTTTTTCCATACTTCAAAAATCGCTAGTAATGCTATTTTGGCCTCTGATTATCATCCGTTAAGAGAAATTGTGGTAAGAAATAAAAAGTTTACTGTTTTATAAGCTATTTGTTAGCTTTCACTATGGATACAACTGATTACCATCAGTTGTTGCTGGTATATTTTATTAATTTTAATTGTATCTTTTTAGACATTGTGATTGATCGTAAACCCTTAAAGATTCATTCAGGATGTCAAAGTTAGTGAAATAAATTAGTGGTTTCAATTAGACTTTATACTTATTTTTTTTCAGTATACGATCATTTACAATGTCTAAGAAATACAATTAAAATTAATATAAAATCCTAGCAACAGCTTGCAGTAATCAGTTGTACCCATAGAGAAAGCCTAATAATTAGCTTGAAAAACAATAAACTTCAAATTCATAACCATAATTTCCCGTACCAAAAGCCAAAATTGCATTATTCGTTAATTTTGAAGTATAATTAGTGGCAAAAGTTGAAAGTTTGTTAACTTTTTCTACTAATTGAAAATTACTACCACTAATTTTAACATCCTTCATTCTGAATGCATTCATTGAAATTAGAGAACCAAACTTCTGCATTAACTAAAACCACTAAATTTATTCCACTAATTTTGAGGTTCTGATAAAGCTTTAGTGTGTTTTGCTAGCAGACCGACGATATAAAATTTAAAATATTATAATTTCTGAAAACATTGATCAGGCGGCAAATAAACTCCAATCCCCTTAAAATTCGCCGGCATACCGGATCATTAAAGTAAATTAATTCCTTTATCTTGAAATATCCGCAATAATTACGCGCGTTGCGTAAAAATAAAACTCCAATGCTTGCCGCTTCTTACCTTCAAATCTGATCAGCAGGCGCATCTGTAGCGAGGGCACGAGCTCTTCCATCCGGCCGGCCCTTAACCGACAGGTGTGACAACGGCAGCTGTTCTGCAAAAGAAGAGAAAAAAAGAGCGGATAAGAAAGGCGCAGAAGACGAAAAAAAAAATGTGTAACAACAATAACGATCCAATTGGTCCGTGCAAAGAAAGAAATCATCGGCCAGCGCTAGACACCTTGTTGCTTGCGTTCAAAGAGTTGTAGTTTTGGGCGCGCTCGGAGAATTTTGGTCGATTCATTTCGGTTCGGTTCGCTGACTTTCGGCAGATGTTGCGTATCCGAACAATATTTTAATTGAAAACGGGTAAGAAAGTGTAAAAAAGTTCGCAAATATTAGATATCTAAAGATGGGGACAAAGTCAATGGATTTTATGGTATTAGTACAAATTAGTACAATAAATTAGTGCTTTCAATTATACTTCATACTTAAGAGTTTACAGCCATTCACATTATCAAAAAAATTCAACTAAAAAAATAGAATATCCTAGTAACAGATTGCGGTAGTGAGTTGTATTCGAGAGTATACCTAATAATTAGCTCTTACATTTTTTATTTCTAATCGCACAAATTCCCATAACGGATGATAATCAAATGCCGAAACGACATTATTTGCAATTTTCGTATTATAATTAGTGAATTTAGACTCTTTTTCTACTAATTGAAAATTACAACCACTAATTTTGACGTTCTGAATGCTTGCATTGAAATTAGAAGTACAACTAATTTTTCTGAATTATGAATGAAGCTTATGTCAGCGAAATACCCTGGCAGTTGTGACTGCTATTTTAATTCACAGATAAATTGTTTTTTTTTGTCACGGTTTGGATGCCATCTGTCGAAATACTCCCTGATTCGTTGCGCAGACTTTACTAGGTAACAGGGTTGTTATTTTTTAAACAATTTGTTTAAAATAAGTGTTATTAGAACATTAGAATGTTTAGGAGGGGGGTTAGCCAGTGCGACCTTACAGATCTATTAGGTGTGCCCCTTACTTGAGTTATAACTCATCATACAGTCTCAGGGCTTTGGCAAAAGTTAGTATCTGAGACGGCTCCACAGAGGTCAGCTCTCTGTCTCCGACATTAGCCGTCCCAAAGTTTATGGCATGAACGGTTGTCGTCTCGGAGCATTTAGTGATAAGGTGTTTCCCCATTTTCCCCAGAGAATCTGTATTCGCCATTGTTTCTAAACTTCAATCTACTGAGGTGTTCGTTGAGGAGACAGTGCCCTGTTAGAAACCCCCTTAGTTAAATCAAGAAAAATCTTTGATATTTCTGGGTCGTAAGTTCTCAAAAACTTTTTCGAGTGCCTTAGACCGTTGAAGAATTCCCATTCCAGATTACGGATACAGTCTTCCAGATTCTTGAGTTCCTTTAAGTTGGTTTCCGCTTGGAAAGTAGAACGGTTCTGGTCCAATTAGTGGAGTGTTCGCTCATTTTCTAGCTAGATAGTTTGCCTTTTCATTGCCTTCTATACCTTAGTGAGGGGCACCTAGAGTAGGATTTTATTTTCTTTGCCAAATTTGTTCAGCTTCTACTAACAAGTGTCACACACGTTTGTCTTCAATATTTACTTGAAACTGTTAAATCATGTTTAAAACTGTTTTAAACGTGTTTTGAGTATAAATAGGTGTTTTTTTAATAAAAAATAAAAAATAAGAAAAACTCCTTAACAAAAAAACTAAAAAGATATACTTAATATATATATATATATATATATATATATATATATATATATATATATATATATATATATATATATATATATATATATATATATATATATATATATTAAGTATATCTTTTTAGTTTTTTGTTAAGGAGTTTTTCTTATTTTATTAATATTATATTAATATATATATATATATATATATATATATATATATATATATATATATATATATATATATATATATATATATATATATATATATATATATATATATATATATATATATATATATATATATATATATATATATATATATATATATATATATATATATATATCTTAAGAGATATATATATATATATATATATATATATATTATATATATATATATATATATATATATATATATATATATATATATATATCTTAAGAGATATACTTCCCGAAACGTTAAGCATTTTTTTATCAGCGCGACCTTAAAGATCTATTGTGTCTCCCTTTCTTGAGTTATTACTCATCATACAGTCGATAACTTATCATACATGGGGATCTTCCTGTTGTAAGGACAGGGTTCCCATCCTCCTCTGACAATAGATCCGTGGAGTTGGCATCTACCTCCTATGAGGGGATGTACCCTTCCACGGTTTGGGTTTAGCCCTCCGTGCCCTTCACAATCAAATATCTCTTCACAGTCAAAGGACTTGTCTCTGGCTGAGGTATCCGTGAGGTGGAGGCTAGAAGATCTGTCTCCATTTTTTCCACCTCTTTAACTTGATCTCTCCTTAGACATCTTTCTCTATTTATATTTTTTGGATTTGAGGTCAATTACACCACAAGGGTTAGGAGTCTCATAGCTTACTCCCATGTAGAAGTAAGAGGACGAGAATACAATGGGTTGCCCCCTGGTGCCCCAAGATTGAAACCAGTAGAGGCTAGTGTTCTATCTAGCCACGCATCCTTCTAACCTGGTTCCGCCATCATATGATTTAAGTTTTTGGTAAGGTTGTCTTCTCTTGGTTTGGGCTGTTAAGATAAGACTCCCCACACCCTCTCCCCGTGATACATGGCCACAGACAGTAGAGGGTGCCTGGTATGACGGACAGGGTAGTTCCCTCCGGCATCATTATACGCCTTGGTGCGTACGTTCGCAATCGGGTTAGACCCAGCCAAAGTGTTAGAGGGGATTTCCACTAGCACCTGACTAGGAGCTTTCCCACCAACGACAAGGTCTCGCATCTCCTAGAAGAAGGTATTATAGGTTAAAGCCTGGTGTAATTTTTTAAACCATCTTCTTCTTGCGGTGCCGTGCCTGTCTTCAGGCGTTGGCGATCTCCATGACTATTTCGTTGAAGAGTTCTCTATCTTCTGCTGCATGAAACAGCCTCTCCACCCCCAGACCGGCCCAGTTCCGTATATTTCTGAGCCATGACAGTTTCTTTCGACCTACCCATCTTCTACCTTCGACTTTTCCTTGAATAATCAAACGAGGAATATAATATTTGGTGCCACGCATTATGTATCCGAAGTAGCTAACCTTTCTGGCCTTGATGGTGGTTAACAGTTCCCGATCTTTGTTCAGCTCTCCAAGAACTTCCTCGTTGCTTGTATGTTCGGTCCAAGAAATCGTAAGGATTCTCCGATAGCACCACATTTCAAAGGCATCTATTTTATTTATATTCTCGACTTTTAGCGTCCATGTCTCGCATCCGTAAAGAAGAGTGGAAAAGTGGTGGATATGTAACAACGTAGTGTTTGCAATTGGGTTTGCAGTGACAGGTTTCTATTAGTGAGCGCGGTATTCCATTTTTTGAATGTTCTGCGTGTAATTTCAATTCTTGCTTTTACTTCTTATCTATTTTCACTATTTAGCCGGCTTCCTAAATATCTAAAATGTGGTACTTGTTCAATATTGTGCCCGCTTATTTTTATCGGTATTGGATTAATTTGTATTTTACCCACAAACATCCATTTCGTCTTCTTGATATTTATATTAATACCCCATTTGCAACTAGCTTCATGTATCCTATCTGGCAACGTTTGCAAGTCTTCCATGCTTTCTGCTTTTACGTTATTTATAATCTCGCCTACAATTTGAACGCCTTCTATTCTGCCTCGTTAAAAATGTTCTCCGAATACAAGTTGAATAATAACGGTGACAAAACACACCCCTGTCTTACTCCTCGTTTTATTGGGATGTCATTTGTAGTTCCTTCATCGACCCTAACAGCAGCAGTTTGATCGTAGTATAAGTTTACTAAAAGGCGCATGTCATAGTTGTCGTACGTTATGCAATTTCAGATGCCGAAAGAGGTCTGTATGTCTTGACTCGATCAAATGCTTTTTCAAAATCGATGAAGCACACATAGATGTTCTTGCGAAATTCGCAGCACTTTTGCAACAATAGCCTCATGCAAAACAGGGCTTCACGGGTTTTAAACCACTTTATACTTAATTACGACTAAGTATAAAAAAGAAGGTACAAAAGGAATAAGAAAGTAATCAGCTCAATTTAATATTGTCTAGAAAAAAACTTGACACTAACTCATTATAATAGACGCCACTTCTGATATTAACACTGATCAGAAACATGGTACTTAATCAATTAAATCTACTATTCTGTGCTACCTATCGAAATATTACCATTTGTTCTCTAAAAATTAAATAAAACTTGTCGCCTTATCGTTACCAAATTTACTTCCCAATTTTAAATGCCACCTTCACAATGCAGTTTGAAGAAAGTATTTTAAACAATTTTTAAATATAAACCCGACTTTGGAGTTCAAATCGTGTTTGAAACAACTTTTTAAACCATGAAATACATTTTTTTTTAAAAATGGGGAAATATATTTTAATATAAAACAATAATTATAAAAAGTAATTTCTTGTAAAGTGCCACTGAATAGAATACAAACGGAAACCAACTTGCCAGTGGTTTCTTACTCTTGCTTACAAATTTGCCTAACCAGCAATAACGCCTAATTTTTCAGTGAGTATAATATATGAGCCTATGAGAACCATAATGGTCCATGTCGCATAAAACAGATTTCAAGATATAGGAGCTTAAAGTTCATGCTTTATTGAAAAATCCAGAGGAATGTCAAATATATTTTTTTCTTGTACAAAGCTTGCAAACATACCAACTTAAATATTGAATGAAAAAAAACGGAGTTTTTTTTGAATTGTAGTACTTGTTTTTTAGGTTTTTGAGATTTGGACCACTATGGCTTGTATGGCACTATGGCTTAAGTGAAAAAAAGGGGAATAAAAAAACACATATTGTATAATATTGTTTATTTTTTATGAAAACAAACTAAACTATGTTTTTAAACATAATTTTCCTCTTCTGAGCGCTCTTCCAAAGGACCAAGGTCTTCCGTAAT